TCTCAGCCCTCTTACTCAACTTCTGTGCTTAAATAGACCACATGATTCAGTCCACTAATCAGGTCAGCGAAAAACCTTTGAAGACTTGCACTGTGTTGAAATATGGTGCCTCCAAGTATCTCTCTTTTCAAAGGGTAGGCTGTCATCACACATACCAACACGGTAGTCTACCATAGTCATCACAGTGATAAGCGGGTCAGCACCAATGAAAAAGAAGGGTTAATCATTCCAGTTCAAGTTAAAGCAACGTATTTATCTCATCCATCTTCCAGTAAGAAAAAAAAATTGTGAAGCCTAAACTCAATAGTACAAAGAGAATCGTAAGCAAGATGACAGCAAAAAGATCTTGGAAGCTGGAAAGCAGATGGACAAGACTTGTGAAAGGTGAAAATGAGGCCAGCAGTGAGTGTAGGATCTAGGAGCAAGTCAAATCAAAGCAGAATGGATGCAAGCTCAGGGCTTGGAGTGGAGTGGCGTGGACGTGGGGATGAGGACAGAAGAATCTGATCAAAGTTAGGTGGAGAAATAGATAGACATCCAGACCTTCTTTCCAATCCAGAGTAGCCTAGGGGCTGGCTTATAGCACACAGATGGAAGACTGGAGGTGTCCTTTCTGGAGGGGTCCCCGAATACAGGGACACTAGGCGGGGCTGAAAAATGTGGTCCTTAGGAGAGGTCTTTACTGAAAGGAGAGTCTCCAGCACCTTTTCTCTCAAGACTTCTAAATTTTATATATATATATATATTTATATATATATATACATACACACACACATAACTTGTTGTCAGAGTCAGTTTACAATGTATCAATTTCTGGTGTACAGCATAATGCTTCAGTCATTTCTTTCACAAATGATAGATGCTGGAGAGGGTGTAGAGAAAAGGGAACCCTCTTACACTGTTAGTGGGAATGTAGTTTGGTGCAGCTTTTATGGAAAACAGTATGTAGATTCCTCAAAGAACTAAAGATAAGACTTATCATTTGATCCAACAATCCCACTCCTGGGCATATATTCAAAATGATACACACACACCCCAATGTTCACAGCAGCACTATTTACAAAAGCCAAGATACCAGAGAAGCAGTCTAAATGTCCATTGACAGATGAATGGATAAAGATGTGGTGTATATATATATACACACAACAGAATATTACTCAGCCACAAAAAAGAATGAAATAATGCCATTTGCAGCAACATGGATAGATCTAGATATGATCATAAAACGTGAAGTTAAGTCAGAGAAAGACAAATACCATATGATATTACTTATATGTGAAATCTAAAAAAAAAATGACACAAATGAACTTATTTACAAAACAGAAAGATGCTCACAGACATAGAAAACAAACTTATGGTTACCAAAGGGGAAGGTGGGGAGGGATATATTAGGAGTTTGGGATAAACAGGTACAAACTACTGTATGTAAAATAGATAAACAACAAGGTCCTGCTGTAGAGCACAGGGAACTACATTCAGTATTTTGTAATAACTATAATGAAAAAGAGTATGAAAAAGAAAATATACATGTATAACTGAACCACTGTGCTGCACACCAGAAACTAACACACTGTAGACTGACTATACTTCAACCACAAAAAAAGTTTTAAAAAGAATTTCTCTACCAAGCAAAACTTGAAATTCCAGAGTTCCACAGACTTCCTGAGGCCCATTTATGGAACCACTGGACACCCACATATCACAAGTTAAGAACTCTTACTTTGGAGGAAATAATAAATACACAGACACATGGAAGAGCTTCTCTGCTCACCCGAGGGGCATTCAAGGAACAGGCTGGGACTGCGGGCACCGGGGGCGCCATGACAGGTCACTCTCCCAACCAGATCTCAAGGAGAGCAAGACTCTGAACCTCTGAAATTATTTCCTGCCCTCACTGGTTCTGAGACCAGAGAGCAGTGCTCCTCTCCTGCACTCAGTAGTTCTCTTCGTTTCCAGGGTGAAGGAGAGCGAACCTCGGAGATCTCACTGCACCCACCCCATGTCCACAGGTTTCCTCCCCACTATCAATGCTGCGTGTAGTCGGAAAGTGTGTGTTTGTCGTTTCATCTTCTCCAATGGCCAGAAAAGGTGAAAGAAACCCAAAAGAGATTTTTTTTTCCCCATTAAAAATGATGACGGCCCCATGGAATTTGGTACATGAATGTTTGCACTTAGCATAGAAAGTCTTCGAAATGCTACGAAGGCAAACCAGAATTGGCCAGGAAAGCATTTTTTCCAGATTTTTCAAGGGGGTCATTTTCAGGGGTCCATTTTAGATTTGCGAGGCATGCTAGAAAAGACACACACAGGAAAAAAAAAAACCCACTATATTAAGAAGCATTAGGTTAAGTACTGGTTTAGAGTGGCTTTGAAACAACAAGTTTTCACATTGACTGGCTGTTGAATTAAGAGTTTACACCAATCACTCCTTTTACTGAGCTGTAATCCACAAACAGCCTCACGCCAAATTAAAAAGATGCCAAGTCACATTAGTTATCAAATACAGAAGATTTAAAGTGCTCTTTTTTGCATGCTGACAGGCATCCCTACCTGAGAGCAAGAAATTAAGGAAGATTTTGCCAGATGCTCACACAACAGAAAAGAAACTCCATTTACTTTTCAGCCTTTCTAGAACCGATCAATTGCAAAGCTACCCTGTCTGTCCCAATTTTTTTTTTTTGAAAAACATAAAAAGCTACTTCAGAAAGTACTGATTTTTACCATATTTGGGCCTGTATTCCATTGAATTTCACTAAAGCCTTCTCAGTTTCTTTGCTCTTTCCAACAAAAGCCCTTGTAAACAGGAATATTCCGTGAAATTATTTTCACTATCAAGAGATGGCCCTTCCACGTTTTCCCACATTAAACAGAAACAAAGAATCCCAGAAGAATTAAAAACTAAGAAGAGTAAAATCCGAAAAAGAATATATTGATCGCATGCAATGAATCATAGGGATGTGATAACAGACACCTCAAATCGTTTAGCGCAGAAGTGGAGACCCCTCCAACGGCAGTTTAAGGAGCCGCACACCTGTAATCAGCATGACCTCCAGAATGACAGCTCAGAACCCAGCCATGCCGCCTTGTCAGCCCGCCTCGCCAGCCCACGTGCCCTCAGTCAGAGGCAAAGCGGAAGCACACGTTTAATTCTATCAGTCATCTTTTAACTGACCTCCCTCAGTACTCAGAACCTGGTAATTGGCAAGTGGCTGTTTAACAGTATTTTTTTTAAAGTGGGCAATGGCGATTGGAAACATAAATGAAACCTTCCACTAATTCAGAAGAGTCCATTTGCACGAATGTCATTAGCATTTTACCACCAAGGCTTCTTCTCTACTTGTTTACTGGTTTGCTAACTGGAAGATGGATCAAGGCTGTCAAACTCTTCAGAGTTAGAACTCACTCCTGGATGGCCTCATCAGGACAGAAACTTACTTCAGCTCTGTAATCCCAGTCTTTTCGTGTCTTGCCTAGGGCCCCCATCCTTCAAATGTTTCAGGCTTCTTGTGGCTTCTGGACCCACACTCATCCACCTAGAAAAAAGTTAAGAACTCTATTTACCTTTCTTCTCTTCCAACAGCCTCCCCTTGATGGTCCTCTAAGGGCATAGCTGAAGTTCTTAGTTGCCCACACCAAACCCCAGTTTTATCTGGATCACCTGCTTCCTCCAAAGAGCCGAAGGCTTCACCAACCTTCCACGGCAGTCCCACCTCCTTGTTACTGATTGGTGTAGAAGTAGTTCTCTGATGCCCTTTTGACCTCTCACTTGCCAAGAGGTCTCCTGGGGGTTACCTGGGAAAGATACACTCTTCCAATACATACAGGAAAAAAGGACCCACAACCCTCTGGGTCATCCTGGAGCTGATACCTCGAATTGTCGTAGCCTCTCATTACCCTCCACAAAGGTAAGGCCAAGAGGGTCACTGAGAAGCAAATCAGAGCTTAACAAACAGCACCTGCAATCTGCCCGCCCTCAGGGCATCTTGTGATGGGAATGGATGAATCCCCGGTTGTTCAAGCCAGCTGGGTCGTGGTGCTCAGCTCCCTTCAGCAGACAGCAGCCGAACATAATCTGAGGGTAAATCTGGGGGACCTTTACCCAGAGGATATTCCTTCTTTGGTCTTTGTTCTTCATTAATATACTCAAAAATTCCACCCCCAGGGTATCATAAGCAGTTAAATAAACCACAGAGGAAAACATCTCTAGGTCAGAACACTCATAAAATTTCCCTTCGTATCATCTGAAATAGACCAGATTTTCAAAAGGAAAAAAAAATCTCAATATGTATCACTGGGAAAAGCTGGGAAAGTAAGCTGTACTAATTACTAATGATGTAAAGTAGCCCCTCTATGGGGTGAGCTTGCGGGTAATAATATTTCATCTACACTTACATTCAAGTTGGGACTTAAAGGAAAAAAGTGAAAGTGCAATGGGGAGAGCTTAGTGGCAGAGTGTATGCTTAGCATGCACGAGGTCCTGGGTTCGATCCCCAGTCCCTCCATTAAATAAACCTAATTACCTCCCCCCTCAAAAAATAAAAAATACATTAAAAAAAATTTAAAGGAAAAAAGGTGACAACTTAAAAACATAAATAAAAGAGAACTATCCAGAAGTCACAGAATTAAGGATAAAGTAAGGAGGCATACATTTAAAAAGAAAAAACAGCAAATATAACAAAAGGATACAGTCCTCCCCAACCAAGAG